CCTTTTTAAAATTGAAATTGTTAGATTCATGTATTTTCATGAAATTGAATCGAATTTAATTCTTATAAAGCTCTGGAACTGCGAAAAAAGCATTTGGAGAGTGTAGTATGATTGTCAGCGTTGGTGCGAGTGCAGGTGAGGGTACAGGTGTGAATGATAGCACTGCTATAAATTCTAGTGTGCGATGGAATTCAAGAGGATCTATCCAAACACTCGCACTCGTTTTTTATTTTCGTTTTTTCTTCTGCTTAAAATCAACTTCTCTGGAGAGAGGTTGGGGTCCACTTTACTTGCACAAGATACTACGACAAATATATTAAAAGTACCAGCGACAGCTCATATACTAATATTAATTTATTTTTCACACTGTTGTCGCTCTTGTTGAAGAATTCTTTTTTCTTTTTTTTTAATTAATTTCTCGACTATTTTTCGCGTGGACCAATTTTCGTGGATCCACATATTTCTAGCCCTGGAGATTATTATCTTGTAAAAAATACGAAAGGCGCCAACGAAATTAACGCACCATTTCTTATTCATTAAAATTATTAAGCACATTTACATTTCAAATTATTTCGACTAAATCGCTTGCTGAAAAGCAAAGGTTGAGACTAGCGGATCGATATTGTATCGCAGATATATAGGTCGGCCTGTTTTTCGACTAATTCACTCTCACCACACTCTTATCCTCTACTAAACTCAGTTTTCATTGCAAAAAAAAAAACAAGAAGCCTTGAACAACATTGGGTGTGTGATGAAACAACAGTTAATCATTTTTATTTGATCGTAGAGTATTAAAAAAAAGTGTTGTTTCGGCATACTCTAAAATAAAACAGAAGACAGATGTGTTACTTATAGAAATCATGCATTTCCTATCTAACCAGTTGCTTTAATTATTTGAAAAGCACGTAGTCTTTTATCTAGATAAGCATACTCAATGATATCCATTAGTTTTCAGTGTCCATTTCCTCCTTTTATGTTAATGATAAAACTAGTAAATTCTATAATAAACTTCATTTTCTGAGATTCTTTTTACACGTATGAAGATTTTCTAGAAAATACCAGTGTTCATTGATAAATTATCTTTAAATTCTATTCTATTCTATTCTTTTTCATTTGTAATCTATTGATCTTTAAAATTGAAACGAGAAATAGAGTAAGTAGTTAATATTTCTTTCAGAAAAGCATTAACTCATTTAACAGTGTAATAATCATATTCAGTTATTATACTTTTGAAATCATTATGATGCATTTTCGGATGATATTTTTCATGCGGTTATTCAGTATGACAATGATCGAATCAAACATGTCATTCCTTTATAATACTAATCATAATTCCAAAACGAATTTTGATTGTTTTTATGCTTATATCATTGATGATCTTAATCAAACAGATCGAACTTTTCTTCGCACAAATTATTTAACTCCATTTTGTCTACGTCCATTATCAAACGATTCTATCGGTGAAAATTTAACACTGATACAAGGATATGTAGAAAATGTAGTCATGTTTAAAACTTTACGTTCTCAAGGAATTAATAGTGACCATCTACTTCAATGGTCAATATCAATTGATATTATTGAAGAATATGCGATATATTTGATTACAAATGATACAAAATTTGATGACATTAGTTTTTACAATTGTTCAACATCATGGTTTGGTTCTCATTGTCAATATACATTTGGTTCGAATATTTTAATTGAATCATTTGGTGATTTTATAGTTTCTTCATTTAATAATCGAAAACAATATCATAAAAAACTCATAATAAATACTTGTTATCCACATTTATCTGGATGTTATCGGGGTCCTGAACCAATGTGTTTAGATTGGCGTGAAATATGTAATGGAATAATTGATTGTATTGGAGATAGTTTTGGTATGGATGAGCAGTATTGTGATGAAATTGAAATAAATGAATGTAAAGAAGATGAATATCGATGTCATAATGGAGCTCAATGTATACCATTAGTATTTTTTCAAGATGGCTGGACAAGTAAAGATTGTTTAGATGGAACTGATGAAGATGAAATTAGCATCAATAGTCAACTGATCGATGATGTGAGTAAATTAGATTGCATAGGAATACTAACGTTTCCTTGTGAAGAACGTAGCTGTCCTATTACACGATCATTTCCATGTGGTGATGGAGAATGTCGTAGATCTGGATACATTCACAATTATATTTACCCATACGAACATTTGTGTACAGGTACAAATCGTGATTTCTATTATGCTCAAGCTATTTATAAGACTAACAATCATCTTTCAAGCGATTGCCGGAAATTACTGTTTTGCACACTTAGATTTCATATTTCTGTCATGAACAACAAATATGACGTAGAATACTGTTCATCTGAGAATTGGTTGTCATCAAATAATTGTTCAATGGACCATGTATCGTTTCCTACCGATCCAATGCTCAACAATTATTTTCAGGTTATCTATTCATCTGAAAGTTTGGTCAATAGTTCCTTTGATGCTGCGTTACCTAATTATATCTGCAATGATCCCCGACAATGTCTACATCTACCAAAAACAACACTTCAAATAGGACGTTTAGATTGTCGCCCGTTTGAACCAGTCGTTCAAGAATTTCGCATGCCAAATTTGTTCTATTTACACTCTGCACTTAATTCACTCGACAGTATGTGTGCGTTGATGGGAAATATTAATGAATATACATCAAATTCATCTTTATTTTACTGTGAATTATCTCATAGGTATGTTTCTAAACATCGTCTTTCTGATGATATCACTGATTGTTATCATAGCGAAGATGAAACATATCCAGATAATTGCTTATTAAATAATTCTCAACGTTTTCCATGTGAATCAAAAACAAAATGTTTATCATCTGATTGCATAAGTAATCAAGATTCACTTGTCAATGAATTTCTACCGTCTACATTTGCACTTTTATGTGATGATATTTTTGATGGTATCTATGACGACGATGAAAACGACGAATCGAATTGTGAATGGTGGCCATGTTATAATCCATATACTCGATGTGATACTATTTTTCAATGTGCCAATGGTATTGATGAAATGGGCTGCCCTAATACTAATTGTAGTGTTAATGAATTAAAATGTGATGTTAACGATCCTGTCAATTTTCGATGTATTCATCAAGTTTATATTTACGAAAAACCGATCAATTGTAGCAGGGATAATACTGATGAAATCATTTGTCGAAACTTATTTTATTCTACTAATTTAATTAATGAAGAGAATGAATATTTGTCATGGAAAGAAAATACTTGTTTAAGAGATAACGATATTTGTGGTCAACAATCAATTAATACTCAACATTCAGTATGCAATTTAGTCAAGATACCAGGGCGTTTTACCTGTGACAAATTAATATTGAATATACATAATAATGAACTATTGTGTGTATTAAAAAATCGTCTTATTCTCCCTCGACTTATTCGTTTTCTTTCTATATTCAATATTGGATATTTACCACCAACAATCAATATAACATTAGCACCATCTCCTCGTCAACATATTCATGTTAAAAAAAATAAAATCTTAGCATTGAATACTAGTATTGATTTAATCGAATATTGTAATCGTGGTATTGTTATATTTGAAGGTAAATCATATAAAAAGAAATGTTTATGTTCACCAAGTTATTTTGGTGATCAATGTCAATGGCAAAGTCAACGTGTTAGTTTAACACTTCGAATACGTTATATGGGTTCAGTCGAGAAAAAAAATTTTTTTTATGATATATTTATTTATCTTATTGATGATGAATATCAAATAATTCATTATTATGAAGAAATTAATTATAATCCATCAATAGATTGTGAAACCAAATTTAATCGTTATTTACTTTATCCAACAAGACCAAAAAATTTGAATCATACTTATTCAATACGTATTGATATATATGATAAAATAACATTAAATTATTATGGCAGTTGGCATTTATTTATTCCATTTCCATTTTTACCAGTTAATCGTTTATCTACACAATTAAATATTCCATTTGAAAAATCTGAATCGTCAAAAAATTGTTTATCAAAATGTGGAATTCATGGAAAATGTTTCAATTATATAAATTCATCGAAATCATTTTGTAAATGTGATGAAAGATATTATGGTCGTTTTTGTAATTTAACATATCAATGTTTATGTTCATCTGATTCAATTTGTTTAAATTCATCGATTTGTTTATGTCCATTAAATAAATTTGGTTCAAAATGTTATTTACAACATACATCTTGTCAATCTCATAATAATTTATGTCAAAACGATGGTAAATGTGTACCTATTAATGATCGTATTAGTAATAAAGATTTTACATGTTTATGTACTGAAGATTATATGGGATCATATTGTGAATATAAATCATATAGAATTGATATTCATTTCAAAACAGATATTATTCCATCAATCATTTTTGCACATTTTATAACAGCATTTGATGATAAGAAACATGAACGAATAACAAAATTTAAAAAAGTTCCATTCGATCAATATTCAGTTACATTGTTTACTAGACATTCATTTCATATTCTATTTATTGAATTTCTACATAATTCTTATTTAGTTGTTTTAAGAGAAAAATTTATTCCATCAGAATATATTTCTATTGATATTAAATTAGATAATATGTGTGTAAATATTACTAAACTTTTAAATTCAACAATATTTAATTATAATTATCTTCATCAATTGAAATATTATCAATTACCATGTCTTCAAAATAATAAATTAAAATGTTTTTATGATGAAAAACACATGTGTATTTGTGATAAAAATCGATTTTCGAATTGTTTTCAATTTAATCATAATATGTCATATGATTGTCAAGGATATAATTATTGTCAAAATAATGGAAAATGTTTTCAAGATAATGTTACTTGTCCAGCAACAACAATATGTATGTGTGAAAAATGTTATTATGGAAATAAATGTCAATTTAGTACAAAAGGTTTTAGTTTATCACTTGATGTAATATTTGGTTATCATATAAAACCATTTATTTCTTTTTTTAAACAATCAAAAGTAGTAAAAATAAATGCAGTATTAACAATTGTAATGTTTATATTTGGTTTTATTAATGGATTATTATCAATATTAATTTTTCAAACAAAATCTTCAGTTGTAGTTGGTTGTGGAATTTATCTTTTAACAACATCAATTATTTCATTATTAACAATAAATATTTTTACAATTAAATATTGGCAACTTATTTTTTTTCAAATGAATATTATAACAAATCGTTTATTTCTTTATGTTAATTGTTTATTCACTGATGTATTATTAAAAATTCTTCTTAGTTCAGGTGATTGGTTAAATGCATGTGTTGCTATTGAAAGA